TGCCAAAATCCGTGGAGGCTCTACGGATTTTTTATACGTCGTTTTCGAGCAGTGAAAAGTTCCGGGGTACGGAGATTATGTGTTTGCCGTCATTGCCTAGGTTACGATCGCAAACACGTCACATTCCCGCGCTATGCCTTTTTATTTTGAAAATTTGTACCGAAATCAAAACTTCCCGCGAAAAATCGATGTTTCTCGTACCAAATTTGTACGCGAAAAATCTTTCTGCACCCGATGACGCAAAATCTCCATACGAAGCATGGTTCGTATGAAAGCCAGTCCACACGGATTCTCGTGCCGAAAAATCGTATGGAGCACGCCTGGAAAAAATCCGTAGCGCCCATACGGATTTTGGCACGGAAAATCGTACCCCGGAACCTCTCTATTACAAGGCCGTGCAGTGGTGGCCACTTGGAGAGAGTCCACCAACAGAATTACTCTTGCGCACTCACGCACATATACCTAATAATCTTTATTTCAGGATTACCCAAAGGCTAACGCCTCCTAGACATACTCTCACACACACACCCAGGCATATACCGACACATACACTCACACCAGCTCATAAGGTTTACTCACATCTTCAAACAAGGTACATGTAACTCAGTTCAAGAGACGATAATGAAGAGCACAAGGCAAGAGAGACGGAAGCCGAAGCTTCCGCCTGAAGGCGGAAGGCAAGAGAGAGAGAGAGAGAGAGAGAGAGAGAGAGAGAGAATTGGGAAGTGATGGCAATAGGGAGGTTTCGCTCTACGGAATTACGTATGAAAATAACGTAGGAACTGCACGGAATTTTCATACGTAAAAATCAGAGCTGTTGGTTTTCGCTCTACGTGATGTCTCCACTACTGCTAAACGTGTGTTGTTGCTTTGGAGACGCGTTGGATGCATGCGCCCACTGCATGCACCACAAACAGAAACCGCGTTTCCATTTTATTTTTCACGTGGTGTACGGTGTGTGTACCTTGTGTTTCGTGCGGCTTGAACGTTGCCATGGACAAATCCGGAAAATGCGAAAATATTTCAAAAAGTCCTACGGAGAACCCAACGTAGGAAACAGCTTTCCTACGGAAATCCGTAGAGAGATTTACGTATGAAAGTTGCCCTCGCTCCCCGGCGTGTACGACATACGGATTTTCATACGTAATTACGTAGAGCGAAACCTCCCTAGTATCTAGTTGCGGCCATGGAAGTCCATGGCCACGAGATTGCTGGTCCCGCATGCAATAGCGTATCAAACCGTAGTAAATATGTGTACGAACTGTTGCATAAATAGCGGGAGCCATGTGGGGAAATAACAGCGTATACCAAATAAGGAAGGCCCCAGGCCTTGTGTGAAGACATAAAATAAAGACGATTATGAACCCGTTTACGGGAGATAGATAAATAATTAGACACCTAAATAAGGCATACTTGTCCTGTAGAGGCCTAAAAGGCACGTGTCAATAGTATGGATACGACAGAAGGAAGCGGGCAGGCGTCCATCATTTATCTATCCTCCGCGCTTGCTCTGGAAGAAGCTCCAGTTGCTTGGGTGTTTACTGTCGTTCAGAGCTCGATTTAGTCATCTCCTCCATCCATCATGAAGGTCCTCGTTGCTTTCCTGGTCGTATGCCTTGCAGTGGCAGTGCGATCCCAGAGCTGCAGAGAGACTACCGCCACCCCCTGCACTGGTGACTCGTACAGTTGCGCTGAGCGCACAGTCACTTGCAACTCCTCCCTGTACTGCTTGTCCGGATCTACGTATTCCAATGTCATAGGTACCGGTAAGTCCGGCCATATTGTCGTAACTCTAAGATCTCTTCCAGTAAAGCAGCCTCTTTCGGTGCAATTTTAAGATGCCCCTTTTCTGACTCTGTTAGGCGGACGAAATGAAAAATGCCGTTGGGGTTATAGGTGCCGCCAAGATTTTTTGTTTGGTCTGTTGGGCTGTTCTTAACGCATTTGGTGCGTACGTCGTTCAGGTCTAGGGCTGAGCGCAGACCTCTCTCCCGTTCCACTGGCAATTGCTCTGGATTCATTTGCTCGACACCTGTACTGAGTAGGTTAATTTATTCTGGTATAATCCTTTTCACCACTAACTCAGCTTTTCCTTGACCTCTGCAGGAGTTGGTATCAGGTTCTGGACCAAGAGGTGCTATACCTCAGCTGACACAGACCAGATCAACTGCGGAACCCAGAACTTCACCTGCAAAACGACTACAGATGTCGGTGTGACCGGCTCCTACTGCTGGAGATGCTGCGTCGGTACTGACTGCAACAACGGCACTCCTCCCGTCGCCGCTGCCTCTACTCTGCAGATCATCAGCCCAATCACCATGATCATGCTCATTGCCGCCATTTTCTACTTGACCAAGTAGACTATTCCCTTCTAAAGGACATAGTAATACTGTTTGGTGTGCCGCATTGATGTGTGTCTTTTCACATCTTGCCTCTTTTTGACGGTTTAAGCCTACCATCCCGTGCCTTTTCCCTGTGTCATTCGCTGTCTGAGATTGGCAAAATGGACCGAGTGGTTTGTCCGTTTGTAGAAAGCCACACGGTCATGATCTGTTTTTTTCCTCTCTTTCTGGTCTTCCCAGGTCTTGTTAATTAATCCTGTTTGAGTGTCTATGTTTACATATTCAGACTATACTGAATGGTACAGTTTTGAGAGAGAAGCTTTCCGGTATTGAACATGGTCGTCGTCAGGCTGGGTAGTACCTGGTGGGCTGGTTGGTTCTTATTTTACTTTTGTTGTCTATTCGGGTAATGTTGTCTATTCGGGTTTCCGTTATTGGTTCACACCAGACAATCAGAGATACCAGTTTATTAGAGTCTGTAAAGCATATATCTCACGGGACGAGGACAGAATTATTAGACCTCAACATTAGGGGATGTATTCGACTTCTGACTAGATTATCGAAGTTTGGTTATCTTAGAGTTACCTAGAATAGAATGTACGGTGCAATGCATGAGCGCGCCCATTTAGCTGGGCGCGTATATTATGTGTATAGCCCGACTATGTACACTATAAAGGGATGTAATTAGATCAAGTGTACGGTGGTTTTTATGTGCAGGGGCAGAAGGAGGGAAAACGGGCTACAAATGTGTACGGTACTAATTATAACATGCAGGGGCAGCGGGGAAATGGGTCAAATATGGTTATAAGTGTGTACGTACGAACTACTGCATGCAAGGCTAGGGGTAGGGGATAATGGGTCAAATATGGTTATGAAGTGTGTACAAACTAATGCATGCAGGGCCAGGGGTAGGGGGTAATGGAATGCGTATGAACTACAGCATGCAGGGGTAGGGGGCAATGGAATGTGTACGAACTACTGCATGCAGGGGTACGGGGTGATGGAGTGCGTATGAACTACTGCATGCAGGGGTAGGGGGTATTGGAGTGTGTATGAATTACTGCATGCAAGGGTAGGGGTAGGGGGTAATGGAATGCGTATGAACTACAGCATGCAGGGGTAGGGGGTAATGGAATGTGTACGAACTACTGCATGCAGGGCTAGGGGTAATGGAATCATGCCGGGGTCGGGATCCAAATATGGGATGCGTATAACACTTTGCACATTCAAACGAGATGACGACCCAATAAAGTGATGGCGAAAGCAAGCTTAGCCTAGAAGTGGCTATGGAAGAACATAGTAAGACACTAGGATACCAACACTTGAGAGTAAACTGGGGGGGGGGGGGGAGGGGGGAGGAATACGATGTATCTGTAATACCTCGCTGCTTTGGTACCAACATGTTTACCGGTACGAGAGGGGAAGGTACAGCATGCTACCGAAGTGAAACCATTGTGAACGCAGTGAGATATTATCGTGGCATTGGACAAGAGACCAGGTGTGCGCCCGATTGCGGTGGGGGAAGTCGCTAAGACTGTGCTGCAGTGTATATCGTCTGATATTGCGACAGCCGTGATCCCTCATCAGCTGTGTGTTGGTGTGCGGGCGGCTTGTGAGGCGGCTGTGCAAGAACAATCCAGGAGCATTATCTCGCCGATGACACTGATGCTTGATAAGTAAGATTGCATCAGTTTCATCCAGCTGGCTTGCATAATATCGCACGGGTGTGTCCACCGATGGAAAAAATGTCGAAAAACATACAATACAGCCACAATATTTCTCCGCATACTCAAGGTCAATTGATGAGGGGTGAATTCCCTCAAACACTGTGTATTGAGCAGGGAATGGTGCTTTCTTGCAGGTTTGCCGGGTGGAAGGTTCGATGGACTTCCTGTGTGCTCTGTATGGCAATCGTGAGCCAGTCAATCTTGCGAATTGGATGGTTTGGAGGCAACAACGCTGTGAATGGCCAACGGTCCTCAGCGTTTGTTCAGCACCTCCATGAGCGACAATGACTCTTTATTCTTTATTTCCACGATGGCCCATGGCCAATAAGAAAGACCATATGACTTAAATCAGTCCAGAATCATATAAAATCAGTCTAAGAAGTGAGGAAACCAAAACATTGCAGGGGGATGGGGTTACGATGGAGTACAGTGTGAGCTACTACAGGAGCATATGGATGATAGAATGAGGCTAGACGCCATTGATTCAAACGCATGCTGGCTATTTGTTTCACGCAGGTTGGGGGGTAGTTAGTTGAAATTGTGAAGGGACAGGTTGATGAGTGAGTTGGTGTGTCGGTATGTGTGTGATGTTCTCAATGTGTATGTTCTCATGTGTCGTAGTGCATATGGCTGCTCTGTAATTGGTCGTGCAAGGTGAGGCTGTTTCAGGTGAAGGGGAGCGCGGATGTACTTGATGTTGTGGGCAAGAGTAACCTGTCGCAAGAGTTGCCGGGAGACTAATGTGGGAAGTTGGAGATGATGAAGAAGTGAGCTGTGATGGGCTGGTGCAAAAAGGGGGATCCGCAAGCAGATACGGGCTGCTCGTCGCTGAACGCGTTCTAATTGGTCCTTCTGTGTGCGGGTGGTGTTGGATGACACGAGACTGCCTTACTCTATAACCGGGCGAATGTAGGCGGTGTAGATTACGAGCAGACTGGGGGTGTTAAGTTGGCCTCGTGTTTTACGAAGTTGGTGAAGGAGTTTTTTGGATTTGTTTATTATGTGCGTGACATGTGAGTTCCATTGGAGGTTGTTTTGTAGTATGATTCCAAGGTGACGGTGTTCGTTGACTTGCTTTAGGGGTGTGTCGTTAAGAGTGATGTCGAGTTGGTGATTTGGTGTGACATTGAGGCATTGACGAGGAGGTGCCATCTGCGCAGCCAGGCTGCGGCAGCTGAAATGGCTGACTGCAGCGACAACTCCGATGTCAAACGGCTCTGGTGTGTTGTGATGAGCGCCGCGTCGAGGTGTTGCAGTTTCTTGAGGAGACCGGCGTGCCAGACTCTGTCGAAAGCCTTCGAGAGATCAAAAAGCAAGCTGTGACGGAAAGACCTCTATCTCGGCTCTCGGAAACCTCGTGCACTGACTCACGCTGATATCTAATGTTCGCGAGGTGTTTGTCGCGCTGGAAACGGAGCGGCTCTGTAAGGTTGTATCCCTGGTGATGTTTGTGCTTGGCACTTGACACTTGAAGTAGTTTTGTATACAGAAGACTAGGGTACTGGCGCAAGTTGTATACACTCAACTAACACACATATGTGGCAAACTAACACAAACCGAATAGTGTAGAATGCAGGTGTTTTGAACGCTGCCAGACACAACTAACACAAATGATAATTCAATCACAAAAAGAAAAAAGGTAAACAATTAAATTGCAGTATAAACTGTATCATAACTGCCACCACAACACCGGCAACGCAACAGCTGCAGAATGTTGGAGTGTTTGAGTCTGCCTTGTTCGTTCTGCCGTTATGTCACGCAAGTACTGTTCTCTATCTGAATTTTTTTGCAAATTGTCTGTATGTGCCCAATGCGTTCCACTTGTTGTGTAGCTTTCGACTTCGTAGTTCTCGGCTGTACTTTATTAGTAGAATAGTACAATATGCATATTTTCTCGTATTATAGTCGTGTCAGTCGCTCACGCTTTGTCTTGCCCCACACGGGGGTTTCCGTCGGTGCGGCACAATGAGGTGCGTGACCTCACTGCCCATATGCTGAAGCGAGTGGCTCACAATGTCTCCGTGGAGCCCCACCTGCAGCCGGTCACTGGGGAGCAGTTCCGGTATCGCCCCGCTATCCAGACTGAGCAGGCCCGTCTCGACGTTGCGGCAAGTGGCATCTGGGGTGGCCGGTTTGAGCGCACCTTCAACGATGTGAGGGTTTTCAATCCTCATGTGACCTCAAACCGCGCCACCTCCATTGCTTCCTGCTACACCAAGCACGAGAAGGAGAAGCGGCGCTGCTACGAGCAACGTGTCCGCGACGTAGAGCATTCGTCGTTTGTTCCGGCCATATTCTCTACCACTGGTGGTTTGGGCAAACACGCGGAGTCGCTCTACAAGCGGATAGCTTCTCTTCAAGCCGCGAAGACTGGAGAAGCATACAACTGTGTTATGTCTTGGGTTCGCTGCAAATTGAGTTTTGTCCTACTCCGGTCCATCGTGATGTGTTTGCGCGGATCCCGGAATCTTCAGCTGGTGCAGTTGGACTCACCTCCCATCTTGGTGGTTGCTGAGGCGGGCATTCACATTTGATACCATTTGCCTCTGGTTTTGTCTGTATTGTCTTCGTCTGTGCTCTTTTCATCCTACTACTAGTAGTTTTAAGTCCGCTATCGGGCGGCAGCACTCCAGCTCTGCTTTGCAATTCTCTTAACTTCTTTTTCCTTTGACTTGATCATTGGTATTTTACCATCAGCATCAGAAGAAAATAATTATATAGTCGTGCACAATCATATATATCCGCGGCTTTTTGACACTCCGCAGGTCTACAAAAATTTAATAATAGTAATAGATTTTTCATTTGACCCGACGAGACCACACGACGCTTGCAGACAACAGCACGAAGAGTTCACCAGCCAAACTCCACGACTTGAAGCAAGTAGTATTACTACTGACGAGTCTTGTTTCGTTCCATAAAGATGAGGGGGAACTAGGCCTCGACCAAATATGCTTGCGCATATTTCCGCATATTTTGTGAGACAGTTCATTATGGCATATTGAGCGACAAAGGGAATATTGGAATGAAGCCAGCATATCATTCAAATATTCTGAAGGAAATGAGGACAAAACATTCACATTATGGACAAAATGCGTTCAGAAAATGCCTTTTATGGATGAATTTGGAGTGCTTGAGGCGTTTGCTACATTTCCCCATGGATGAACACTATCGCTACGGTTGCTGGGGACACACCCCAACCATACTATTCCGCATGTGTTTTGATTTGCACCATAAGCATGATAGCCGTGAAGCCAATGAATATTCCAAGGTTGTTTTTTACTGAAATGATCTACACTTTCTGCTTATGTCGAGCATATTTTGGCATATCTTTTTGCATATCTTGCTAAGCCTTTGGCATATTATGGACGTTTTCCTTGATATGCGACGAGCATAATATGCTCCTTTTTTTAGCATATTTGGTCGAGGCCTACGGAGAACTCATCACAGGATGAGCAGTTGTTGAATGAAGGGGTTAAGCTGAATAATGCTATTTTATACTTCCTCCGCGTGATTAAAATTGTCGCTTCGCACATCGCAATATTTGTGACTTGGCTCGTCTTAGTCAGACTGTCGGAATCGCTGTTTTCTGTGTTCGAACACTGGTGCG